GACCCTGCCCGGTGTGGCCTGGGTAGTCACGGTGTGTTCAATGGATGCGTGGGATGGGATGTGGAAGCGATTGGTGTGTATCTGGCCGAGAGAGGCAAAAGAGCTTTCGCCGGTTGTTCGTACGGGGGACGAGAGCTGAAGCAGAAATTTTCGTCGATTTTGGCTTTAGCTTCAGCTTCAGCCCTTTTCAACGGCGGCCCCTTTCAGCTTGTAAGCGAGGACCCTGAACTAAGGTAGGCAAACACCGTCAGCAACGCGTACGACAACCAATGACAAGCTCCAAACGCAAGAGAAGGGTTGAATTTTTCTTGTAGCTTTGAAATTCCAAGCTATCGGGAACCGTGTTTCCACTTTGGCTCGGTGATTTAGACCACCGAGGATTACACCCATCAAGGTGAGTGACGAGGGGCCCGAGGGGTTCTCATGAGCGCGCGGCTGCTCGGCTCACCTTGATGGGCGGGCGCTTTGCAGATAGCAGGATAGCGGCAGATGGCCCAGAAAGTTGAAGAAAAGAAGCAGGGAAACAGTTCAAGATAGTCTTGGATGCCCCATGGTTCGCCATGCCGTCTTCTGCCGCCTGCCGTCAGTGACGAAGCTCAAAGAAGAGGAGGGGTCGCGAGCGTGGGGTTGAAACTCGCGAGCTTGATGGCGTGCATATCGAGAGACTGATTGCCGCCCGTATCCGTGGGAGTTCAGGGTCTAGACACAAAAGAGGCATGCCGAACGGAACGGAATCGACACGCACGTCGTTGAGATGAAAAGTGACGTTTTCTTGCCTGCTCATACGCAATAAGCAGAATATCCGTAACTCCTCGGTCCAGGATTGTATCTCTCCGTATCGCCGTAAATCTCGGGAGTTGCGTCAAAAGTAACCCCGCCGATGCCAAGCTGGTGGAATATAGAACAATCTAATCAATCATCTATCAATCTATCTATCAATCAGTAGCAAGACTCTAGTCGGACTTCGGATGCTATGGCAAAAGGAGAAAAAATCCAAGCCCCCCACGCAGAGCAGAAAAAGGTAGATTAATTGAGTTGCAGCATGGCACGCCCACTGGGGACGCACGCAGAACTTTCGATGCCGTGACAGGCATGCTGTAGAAACTCTCTCGCTCAAGAAGCCCCCGGTTAAGTTCCCTTTACAGACGAATGTCAAGTTCAAATCACAGGTCGACACGCAAACGTGCCATCTGGGTAGCCGTAGAGTGTGCCAGCCACCTTGATAATTCTAGACCATGACAGGAACCTGCTCAGAGATAGCCAAACAGTCGGGAATGCAAGAGTCTCAGTGGACGAGGTTGAAATTTTTGAGCGCTTGCGTATCTTGTCACCCCAATCGTTCATGTCGCGGCTCTTGCCGCGCATGCGTCCTCTACTGGAATTGGTAAGTATCTCCCGTCGGTTAACGGCACAATGAGTTGCCAATTGCATTGTGTCTGCGCGTTGCCTTACACTCACAGCAGCCGCCTATTCACTGACTCCGACATGCCCCCGAGGAAACTCAAGATGTGATATCAGACGTGATATGAGCAGACCTCGACCAACGGTTGTCAGCCACGCCAGTCAAGCCGACGGCGATTCATGATGGGACTTTAGCACATGCATCTTACGCCTACTTTCGAAACCAGTCGGCATTCTTTTGAGAGGAAAAAAATGTGACGAGATGGTGTTTCTATATTGTCTAATGGCACGCCATCGCCACTCATCATGTGTTGTACAGTTGTAGTACCTAGGCATATGTAGCAAGCGGCAGTTGGTGCTCGAACAGCTCACATCACATCACACCCCGCATTCCTGAGGTGATCAGGGTTCTACCTACCACCGACTGTTAGCAGCACGAACAGAAGCAAAAAGATTGATCAGCATACCGGTATCTGGTTCCGGCCGTTTCGAACTTACGAATGTGATGGAACCTACATACACGCCATTACGGACCATCGTGCCATCCTTCACCGTTTTCATGTGTCACAGTCACCGTCCTCTAGCTCGGCCACCAAGAAAAAGAACGTTATGTTTAGGGCCTCTTGGATCTAGCAGTAGACTGGGGGATCGCCATATAGCGGTCATTTGGACTGGGGACTGGGGACTGGGGGGAAAGAGAGAGATGCTTAAGCCCACGGCGGCCGGCGTAGGGTGCATTAGGCTATTGACATAATACTTACCATAGTACCAACGGACTAAAAGGTACCTATTCGAGAGACTTTGTAGACTGAGTGTCGATCGTTCATCCGGCACTGTTTGTTACTTTGCTTGTATTAATGCAGACGATGCTCGACGGCTTTGACGGATGCTGTTCCCTTGGGCGGAGAACAGTTACGATTGATGTGGGCTTTCCGGTGACTTTCTACGTTGCATACCTTCGGATACTCCACGGGCCTAGTCTTCCGGTGTTCCATCGAAACCAGAAAAGTTGATTTGTTCTCTCAATGTCGAGATTGAACATTACAACTACCCTCTGCATAGGGACCCTCTTACGCGGCGACAGATGGCATGAGGAAACTTACGATATATGGATAGATAGTTTGACAAGACATTGAGAGTACCAGCATGCCTGTAGGCTATATCAAGCGCTAGCTGCTCAACCATGTCTCCTGCCCCATAACTCCTTTGCAGTAACAAACTCACTCCAGTTACAGAGACCCAGAACTGGCCAGTAGCTTGGCATCTTTGTGGGAACGGGGAAGAAATGCAGATGAAAATTTTCCGTCGGCTGCCCTCTCCGATGCCTGATGGGTTGGGATCCCCGCAACGACCCAAGGGGAAAGGAGACAGAAATGTTGCATCAATAATACATCGTTACGGTGAACCAGAGAAGAAACGGGGGGAAATATCTTTCTTCCTCTGACCAAACGTGATGGAAACACGTGTTCTGTGACGGACGGGAAGAAACGTCGTTCATGTCAAGTTCCCACCGTCTCAACGTGGATGAAGCAGCCACTGTGGTAGGTGGTTTGCGGCCTACCTTGGACAGTTGGATCCGTCCTAGACTTGACTAAGAAGGCAAGGTAAAGGCCGGGTTGGGGAAAAGGCCCACCCACCGGTGTACGGATACAAGTGTGCGTGTGTGTGACTCTGGAAAGTGAAGAGACTGCTGAGCGGAAGCCCTTACAGAGAACGGAGCCGGGACGAAGGGAAACGAGTGGATATTCTGTCAATGGAGCTCCGGGCTGTGTCGTCCTTGCAGTTTGCCCACTAAATTCTTTCTCATGGGGATTAAGTTTTTCTCGACTTGTTTCTGATGTGCCAGGGGTGGTTGCGAGGCGCTGAGGTCTGGAATCTCTGGAATCCTGAAATTTCTGCCCATTTCCACAATTTCTGATCGTCTTCCCTGCGTCGAGTCCGTCTTTGTCATTGTATTTTGTTGTTACCGGGAAGGGATGATAAGCAATATCTTTCGTACTCTGTGAGTCTGTGGAGGTGAAGCGAGTGAAAAAGGGAGACAAAAAACCGGAGCATGTTGCTTTGCGACGGGCGGCGGCGCGGCTGGCCGGAGAGGTTCCACGGGTCCACGGGCATGGCTCCACGGGTCACTGTTTTGCAGGACGTGAAAGAAAGGGAGCGGGTGGGACGGACGACGCCATCAACCCATACCCAAGGTACAAGGCACCGGACCGCCTCAAGCTCGCAGCGCCGTTCGGGAGCATGACGCCTCCAGGGGACTCGGAGCACCTCTTTGCCATTCAGCCGCTCTACCCCCAAGAGCTAAGATGTGCTCATTGTTGTTATGTGAGGTGGTTTCCTGTGGATACGGGTACCGGTACTCCACCGAAAGTCAAGCCGGCTTGTGATGAGTCGATGACTGACTCCTTGAGTCGCACAGTCGTTGTTGAAGTCGCTGAGCCGCTGAGCCTCTGGCGACGGGACGTGGGGCTCTCGAGGATGTGGGTTAGAGGCCTACGGATACTGTAGTGCCTTAGTTCCCTCCCTCAGAGTAACAGTTGCGCCTTTCAGTGGAGTTTGTTTCGAACTTTGTACGGCCTCTTGGTAACCCTGATGTGGCTTTTTTACTCGATTTTCTTAGGGCCCATTCGGGGGGAAACGTGCTCAGGGCTGTGGATGAGGTGATGTGAAAACGTCGTATGAATCACGAAATACCGGGGCCGGGGGGGTGGAGGCTTTGGAGGCTCCTCCGTCGCAGCCGCGCAAAGCCCACAGCTAGCAGACAGCAGACGTCTGAGTCTCGGCTGCTCTTACTGCGTGCGTAGCAACCTCGTGGGAACTGGGAATGGCCCACTCGATCCGACTCGAACGATTTGCTAGACTTCAACTCGAGCCGTGGCGGGTCGCTGACAGAGAATCAAAGTTGTTTCGGTCATCAGTGTCCCCGTCGTCTGTTGTTCCCCAACATGTTGTGCCCTTTGAGGAAAATTGCAACATCCGCTGATCAAAGGGGACGTGCCGAAAGTGAGAAAACCGGGTATTGCATTACGGCGGCCTCTGGAGTCTGCTCCCGTGCTGCATTGCATTGTGTTTGTTCTTTGCTGAGAGACAGCTCTGGCATGTGCTCACTAATCTCAGTCTGGTAGTCTGGACTCACCGGAGACGTGTCCAATTTCTCAAAATCAAGGAACGGGAGAAACAAACACGATGGCGGTGCAGATGCGAGTAGAAAGGCAAGACGAGGAAATACCTCATTGGCCATCCCCGATGTAGAAGCTGGCTAAGAAGTGCCGTACCAGAAACACGTTGACTATGGTATCGTACGCTGTTAGTGAATACAGTCCACGTACACCTACTGTTCGGTATTCGCAGACCGGCACCCACCAAATCGGCGTACCTATCTGTGAGTTTGTTGCCGCTGCAAGGTACTTGGACCCTCGCCGTGACGGCGTGTCTTGTTTCGCTGGTCATGCAGTCGAAGCTCTCCATAATACGGGGTACGCAGCGAGGCACGTTGCATACAGCAGAGCGAGCCGACTGGCTGCCCTTTGGAATTGTAAAGTTGTACTGTTTATGCGTATGGAGCCCAAAAACCATCAGATCGTGATCGCTTCACTGGCTCAGAGAAAACGTCTCTGTTTCACGGGTGTCCCTTTCTGATGTTCTTCTCCTAGTGGCGGCTCTGTATCCTTCTTCCCGCTTTTCGTGTTCCCGCAGGAAGTTCCGTTCTCCACGCGCATCAAGTGCTTGTTTCTTTCGTCCAAGGACTTTGGACGGCCCGGCGTGTGATGTACCTCTTGGCTCGATCTGACGTGCAACGGTACATTGCGTGTTTGAGGCAGCCCGCACCGAGGCCGTAGAGGTTTCGAGCGGCCGCTGCATGAGCCTACGCGATATACTCTCCACGAGCATGTTTCTTGCCTGTTCCCTGGACGATTCCTTACATAAGGCGGAATGGTTGGTTGTACGTCGATGCCATCTTGAACTTATTAGCTAACAAGGCGTCGTTATGATGCAATTTTGGCACAGCAGTGTATATCGGGTACAGACGGACGCAACAGAATAGGATGCTCAAAAAATAGCTTCAGCACATGAGCAAGGGCTCTAGAGTCAAGGCCCAGGACGGCATGAAAGAGGCACCGGGGCCGATGGGGTGAGCTGATGACAGAATGGCGAAAATGATGCATCGCCGTGGCTCGACGACAACTGAGCCCCCCTCGTTCGCGTCAGACCTGGCTCTTGTTAGTCCTCGCATGGTCAGTCACCTGGTCACACCTCACATCGCTCGCACCTTGTCCTCGGCTTCCAATAGGCGAAGCAGGCAGCTTGCAGCCTGTGTACCATCTTGTCATCCTGTGTCCAACAGGTAAGTACTGTAGTGTAGGTACTCCGTGCAGAGGTGCAGAACAGAACACCAGGGCCGCCCAGTCCCCTTGTCGATCGTCTCAGAAAGGGTCCTATGGTCCAGTGATGTTGTGGTGGTGCCTCTAGGAGTGTACTCCGGTAGGTGTTGGGATGCCCTCCTTGCAGCTGTACCTGGCATTCTGGCATTCTAGTTTCCATCATGTAATGGTGGATGCTTGGCCACCATCCAAACACACCCAAGTACTCCAAGGACGGCATCCGGTAGATTTGTAATTGCAGCCACGAATTCACCATTCACCGTTCACCGCTGCTGTTTTGGAAAGTGTAGGTACCTTGGGAATACTCTAGTAGGTACGTACTTACGTACTCACGTACTCCGCACTGCACGTGTGATGCCTTACATAATTCAAGCCCGAGAACGTCGAGAAGGAATGAATGTACGTAAAGGAAAGTACGAAGAGAAGTGCCTACCTTACATTGCGAAGCACCCTTGGGTACAAGGCGACGCGGGCAGGTTGGCACTGAGGTCAGGTAGACACGGCAGGCAGGGCAGGTACTGAGGAACTTTGGCTTCATCCCCAGACTTCTCTCTCGGCAGCATCGTGCATCAACCTCTGCTTCTCTTTGGACTTCCCCATATTTGCACTATTAAAAGCCCTGCTTGGTCTTTGGCGGCTTTGCCCTGGTCCGCACATCCCCCTCGTCTCGCTAAGTAGTGTAGTCTCTCCTGACCACAAACTGCGTACTTCGTACCCACCAGCGTCCACGCACGCAACGAGCTCTTCTGACTTCTCAACTTCTCACAGACCGACGACAAGGGTCCCGGGTTACCCTTCTGGGTACGAGTGAGCCGCCCGCAGAGAGGGAATCAGACAGGCTTCCCCTGTCCATCGCAGGCCTGCAATCCTCCCCACTGTGAGGTGCAAAGTGCAGATACTGAAGCCTGGTTTCTTTGATGCCATAATCCCCGTGACTACGAGAAGGCAACGGCGATATAAACCTCGGACCCCGATCTGGAATCTCGATCTGAAAAGAAAGGCAATTTTTTTCTTCGCTAGCGAACCCGTTTTCTCAACCACGTCAATAAGTCGGTGAAGAATTTAAGAAAAGAAAAAAAACCCCGACCAGCGGCTAGACAAGAAACGAAGACGGGGGGACGGAGCAAAAAAAAGATATTGCGCAAGAAGACATTTTCCAAAGGAATTCCATGCCATATTAGCTCGGGATACGAAAAAAGACACGGCTGCATACACATTACACACAGACTACAAAGAACGACATTTTATTCTCCGGTCTCATACGCAAGAGCCAACCCGTCAGTCCTCATACAGAAGCAGCGGCTATCCAGCAAGAGGCCAGAGAGCCCATTCCTAGCCTTGCAGCTCTTGCTTCCCACCGCTTCGTTTGGACACAAGCAGATCAAGACCCTCACGCCATACCCTTCTTAGCACGAGAGGGTTCATCAGGGTGTCTGGTCTCCGGTCGTCGTTACTACTCGGTACACCTGTAACCACACACAATTACAAGCTACAGCACCCATACCCGTACGGTTTGGGTGGCATTCTCGCTGCTGTCATCGGCAGAGTTGAGACGACGGACGAATCGGCGGCGCTTGATCCATCTCATAAGCTGGAGGTCCGTCCGCACCACAACATCTCCGCTTTCGGCGAGCCCACGGCCCTGCCTGTCCTTGCGTCAATCCGAGGTACCTTGCGTCTTTGCGGCTTGTCTGGGTACCGGGTTGAAAAATTTACAGAGGGTACGGATGGACAAGGGGAGAGAAAAAAAAAAGAATATCCATACATCAACTTGCAAGGGAGTGACAAGTAAGGACGGCAACGGAAAGAGTCACACTCGATCGGGCTCCATTCATTCAACAAGAGAAAAGCCATTGAACACTATTCGAAGAGTCAAACCAACCGTCTGCGGGACTACATATATTTCCCGGCTCCAATTCTGTCCCGCTTCCAGGAGCCTCATCTGTCGCCAACTGCTCTCTTTCTTTCTCCTCGCCTTGACATTTCCTCGGCAATCTCGTCTTTGACTGAGTGATCACTACGTCAGTCTGGCTCTATTTCGTCTCAATCCACTTGAGGATCCGTCGTCCCTTCTATCGAGCACCTAGAAAGGGCAAACTACCTCACACTCACACACCTGCTGCTCGGCTTTCGCCTTGCTGATACACAAATCGCATCTCTCTTCCGCAAATTCCCACCCCCGAACGGAAGACGGACAACGGGCCAATTTGGAGCTAGCCAGCGCTGGTCCCCGCACTCGCTCTCGACTCTGGCGTCATCGTGCTTCCTAGGAGCTGTTTAATTAATTCCTCGAGAGATCGAGGCCGCAGCAAACATTTTGCTGCACCTAGCAGAGTACCTCCTAGTTCCGACTGTACCTAGACTTGACCTGCAGACCCTGGTTATCCCTGGAGCGAGAAACAAACCCACGCTGGTACAAGTCAACCCCGGTCTCTCACTCTCCATCACTCTACACTAAGCCTGGAGACTCAACCCGCGCACACCTCTCTGTCACTGAGTCTGAGTCTCTCACACCACCCACCTCGCCGGGTCTCACCAAAGATACCTACCTAGCACGGTAATAGCAACCGTCAGCGCAGGTACTCTTCTCAGTCTCTCCTCAGCCGAGCTAGCCCTCTCAAAAAAAAAAAAAAAAAAACACATCCGGCCAATCCTTCCTGCAAGCTTGCAGCACCACAGGCCTGCTTGGACTGGCGGCACGCTTCTTTTATTCCCTTGACCTCCCATCCCATCTTGTCCTATCCCGTCCTGCCTTGGACACACCTCTCTTCCCTCTCTCAGTGTCTCTCATTCCTAGACTTGTCTCTTGCATTAAAAACTTCCGACTGGCCTGATAGGAGGAACACGGGCTCTCTCAAGTTTTCATCTGGAGCATTGTATCAGTCACGACTACGGCGACGGTCACGGCCACAAACCCGCACCACAACCCATCCATCAGCCATCCATCGCCCACGGGCAATCCATCACTTATCAGCTCTCGGCCAAATATACATACATATCCACTCCCACACCCCCCAGCCAAACCCGCCGCTATCTTTCAATCCATCACCAAGACGCCTTAGCTACTAGAAATAAGGCATACCACATCAGGCGTCCCCTGCACATTGCGATAGCTCGAGACCCTTCTTAATCCTCCCAGCACCCGCTCTGACCTGCGGGGGAAGACCAACGACCGGAGAAGAAGAAAAATCTCTTCAGCGGGCGGACAAGACACACGGAGTCACAGCCGACGACCACCACTCTAACCTACCTTACCACCACTACCTTACCTGTTCGTTAACTCAGCCCAGGGCTTCGAATTTGCCACTCGGAACGCGTGAAAGCAGGGACCAATTTCCTGCATTCCCATACAAGGCCACCAACAGGCAGTCTAGATTCACATCTCACCGATTGTTGCGAAAAATTTTCACTGTTGCAGAAGAAAAGGGTTCGGAAATCTTCTTCCCTCGTCCGACGCTGCTTCACCCATCGCCTCTGCCAAACCCGACGGCCGAGACAGGACGGACGTTCGCAACTGCAGTGGCACTACACGCTGTTGTTCGTCAATCATCGCTTCTTGGGGGAATAGAACGGCGCTACCCCTCCACCAAACCCGCCCATTCCCCGCTTATCTGGTCCCGCCGTCCATCCGCCGATACAGGCACCACAACACAGCCAACTGAGACTGAGGACTCGGAAACTAACTGTGAGCGTGAGCTGCGAGAGTCTGAGCGATAGACTACAAGAAGAACCCCTGCCAACCTCGTCGCATCGTTGGCTTGTTATTTTCTTCTCTCGATCTTCCCCTTCCTCAGATCCCTTTCTCTCAGTCGTACATACATACGCCAAGAGAAAGACTTCACAATGCATCACAGCCGCAGAAAGTCGGGCAACACCTCCATGACGGAGAAGACTGTCACAGCTACCGATCCCTCCCGCTACGGCAAGCGTCCTTCAACTCTCACCAGACGCCAAACTCCCCAGAAGTTGGGCAAGAACCCCAGAGACCGGGAACGGGAACGGGAACAGCAAGACTCGTGGGACGATGAACGGGAGAGTTTCCCTCAGTTCTGGTAAGTTTCCTGCCACAGTTTTTTGTCTTTTCTTCTTCACTATTCACATCTGTCGTGTCTCCCTCACTCTCATTCCCACTCTCACTCCCCGATCTGGACATGAGTGCTTCCTCAACGCCGCCATGTTCTAGATTGTCAACCCCGCAACAAGCTGTCTTGCAACATTGTCCGTCATCCAATCTTTGTTGCAGATTGTCATCCCGTTCGGGAGGTCTGCAGTGTCACGATGGACGCCCACTGTAGTGCGCGTTGCTATTCTTCCGATGGGTGTCTATGCACTCAAGTTCCCGTTCGAGCCATTGTTCCCACCCTATTGACCGAAAAATTCGCTGACTGGGCCGTGTGATCTAGCATGACTTGCGAAAAGCAATTCGTACCTCAAGATGACAGGTTCCTGTACTGCTCAGAATCGTAAGCTGCCACTTCCAAGTGAATGTCCCTGAGCGAAAGGAGTGACTTTACTGACACTACGCAGATGCCGCAAGCATGATCAACAAACTGCATCAACTGGCAGGACTATGAGCCAACCGCACATGGGCAACTACCCTTTCTACGCCGCATGCAACCCCGAGCCCAGAGACATAGTTCCTCGTGCGTCCCCCTCAAGGCCGAACTCGATGCACTTCTCGCCGCCCACGACACCAGGTGCCACCTCCGGCGCGCAATACTCGTCCGCCATCTCCGCGTTGAGGTCACTCAGCATCCGACCCCCAAGCCCGCCGTCCCCCACATCGTCGCACGCCAGCATCTGGCCATTTACCAAGAGCAGCACCAACAGCCCCAGCACTTCGTACAACCGCGGCAGCAACAGCTTTTTCCCGGCCACGTACGACGGAGGCTACGCAGCGAATGGCTACGCCTACAACTACAGCTCCAGCGGTATGGACCG